CTCAGGAGAAGCCTGAGGTGTCCCAATGGCAACCATGTCCCAGGCTGCACACACACTTATCTCTAGGATCAGTTTCCTGCATGGGCGTCTTTAATGTTAGGACAGGGGTGCCACACAGAAAACATGAGGACTCCAGGAACCAGGGTCCACGGGGCCTCATCCAGTGAGAGCCAGATAAGCTCAGTGGAGAAACTGATCTGGTCTGTAGACATCCACCAACTTGGAGTCCCTCTCCAAGGTAGATAGCCTAGGTCTCTCCAGCCCACCATCTCAGCTCTAGAAAACCATGGAGGAGGCTGGGCACAGTGGCTCACACCTATAATCCCAGCACTTTGGAATGCTGAGGTGAGAGGACTGCCTGAACCCATGCATTGAAGACCAGTCTCAGCCATTTGGCAAGGTCTCACATCTACAATAAATGAAAAATTAGGCCAGGCACAGTGATTCAGACCTATAATCTCAGCACTTTGGGAAGCTGAGGATTGCCTTAGTACACAGGTTTGAGAAGAGGCTGGGTAACTTGGTATGATCTCATCCCTACATAAATCAAAAAATTAGCTGGTCATGGTGGCATGTGCCTGTAGTTCCAGTTACTTGGAAGGCTGAGGTGGAAGGCTTCACTAAGCCCAGTAGGTGGAGACTGTGGTGGCTGGGAGCACATGCCACTGCCCTATAACCTGAGGGCAAAGTAGACTCTGGCAAGAAAGAAAGAAAGAAAGAAAGAAAGAAAGAAAGAAAGAAAGGAAGGAAGGAAGGAAGGAAGGAAGGAAGAAAGAAAGAAAGGAAGAAAGGAAGAAAGGAAGAAAGAAAGAAAGAAAGAAAGAAGGAAGGAAGGAAGGAAGGAAAGAAAGAAAGAAAGAAAGAAAGAAGGAAGGAAGGAAAGAAGGAAAGAAAGAAAGGAAAGAAGGAAGGAAAGAAAGAAAGAAAGAAAGAAAGAAAGAAAGAAAGAAAGAAAGAAAGAAAGAAAGAAAGAAATAGATATGGTGGCATGTGCCTATAGTTCCAACTACCTGGAAGGCTGAGGTTGAGGCATCACCTAGTGCAATAGGTTGAGGTTGTGGTTGCCATGAATGCTACTGCACTCCAACTTGGATGACAGAGTGAGATTCCAACAACAACAACAAAAATGTGTTGGTGGCTCAACCTGTAATCCCTCGCTTTGGGAGGCTGAGGTCAGTGGATTGTCTGAGCCTGCGGGTTCGAGACCAACCTGGGCAACTTGGCGAGACCTCATCTCTATAATAAATCAAAAAAATAAAATTAGCGGGGTGTGGTAGCGCATGCCTGTAATTCCAGCTATTTGGAAGGCTGAGGTGGAAGGATCGCCGGAGTCCAGCAGGTCAAGGCTGCGGTGACTGGGAGCAGCCACTGCACTCCAGTCTGGGTGACAGAGTGAGACTCCAACTCAAAAACAGGGAGAAGCACTCCTCAATTAGTAGACATCCTTGCCTGATGTCACCTGACTGAATTGATCCAAAACTGAACCACAACTGCAGGTAGGAGCTTCCATCGATTGCAGGGAAACAGGCTGCTTTCCAGGGGCCTGGAGGCTCAGGTGTGGCCAGCATACCCCTGTCTCAGAACAGACCATGACTGTTTGATGATTTTCTTTCTTGAAATTTGGTCCTAAAGCTCCCCATGCATCTGGAGATCAGGAGTGAATGGTTTTCATTGCACATCTTTGAACAAGGATGCTGGGCTCCTGTCTTATCCTAGGTCCCCTGTGAGATTATGAACACAGAATAACATCACCTTGCTATCCCACTGGGTCTCCAATACCAGGGCCTGCCCAGTCCACAGTAAATGTTGAGATATTCTCCTCCCTTATGGTGACACCTACATATTAACTTTCTTTTTTTTTTTTGAGTTGGAGTCTCACTCTGCCGCCCAGACTGGAGTGCAGTGGCCACTCCCAGCCACCGCAGCCTCAACCTGCTGGGCTCTGGTGATCCTTCCGCCTCAGTCTTCCAAGTAGCTGGAACTACAGGCGAGCACTACCACGCCCGGCAAATTTTTGGTTTATTGTAGAGATGAGATCTCGCCAAGTTGCCCAGGCGAGTCTCAAACCTGCGGGCAATCCACTCACCTCAGCCTCCCAAAGTTGCGGGATTACAGGCTGAGCCATCAAGTCTGGCTCATATTAACTTTCTTATGAGAAAGTAACCCACATGGCTCCATAAAATTCAGGGCAGCACCCAGCAAGATGCCCCAAACTCCACATAACTCCTCAGCCCTATGAGATCAGTGTGAACAAGGAAGCTGGACAATGGAAGCCTTGGGACGGAAGGGTAACTATGGCATTGTCAAAACCTCAGTCAGTTAGCAGCATGCCTTGTTCCTCATGCTGTCCAATTGGTGTGACAGTGCCTTCCTTAAAAGGAACAAGTCTTACACACAGAGGGTCCCAACCCAGCCTCACATGACCTCTGGGAGAGCATTTGTACTAGGGATATCTAGGATGATCATACAGTGAACATGTGGCCCTGACCAAAACTAGGATTTTGCCCAAGGCAAGGTAGGAACCCTAGGCATAGTGTGTGGGTACCTGAGGCCCACTCATGTCCAGCAGGACCAGACCAGTAATGTCACCAGGCTTGAAAAGCAACCAGTCACCTCGACTAGGGTGGGCCGGAACCCACAGACCAGTCATCAACCTTATCCACTAAAGGAGGCAATGATAGCTGAACTTCCATGTCCTGAGTGGCCATTACCTGACACCAATGAAGCAGAAGTCTGAGGCCAAGTAGATGGCACTGGCGTTATAATTTCAAGGTACAATACTTGCTCTAGATTATAGGAATGATGAAAATTGAGCAAGTGAGGTCCCAGGAGGCCACGTCCCTAAGTCTGCCATACTTGGTGGGTTCCTTTCAAGGCAAGAAATGTGGCCTAATTTTGTGTAAGGATGCTCCAAGGTGGGGACCAGAGCTGCATAAGGGGAACGAGCTCCTGTCAATGCAGAAATAGGCATTACCTGGATCCTACAGTCTGTAGTCTGTCTCCTTATTTTCATCTGGCTGCTTAGAATTCTTCTTTTAATTTTTTTTTTTTTAGTTGGAGTCTCACTCAGTCGCCACGGCTGGAGTGCAGCTCACGGCCACTCCAGCGTCAACCTGCTGGGCTCCGGTGATCCTTCCACTTCAGCCTTCCAAGTAGCCAGAACTACAGATGAGCACTACAGTGGCTGACTATTTTTTTAAATTTTTCTTGTAGAGATAATGTCTCACCAAGTTGCCTGGGCTGGTCTCAAACCCATGGGCTCTGGCAGGATTCTCTATTTTTTGTTGAATCTGCAGGTACTGAAAATAACCCAGTTCTTTTTCTTATCTCATTTTGCTTTCAGGAGAAAAAGAAAATTCTTCTATCAAATAAATTCTCAGCTCCCCCTTCAGCAGCCTGTTCTGTGAACAAGCACAGTGCTGTCTTTGTACAACAGAGAGTGTCCAGTTCTCTCCAAACTCAGAGATGAGTTCTTACAATAGTGAACATCCAGATTTATCCTAATGGATGGAGATGATTTGTTAGGTCTGGCTCAGTAATGGCATCATTCAGATCACCAACATTATCCTTTGGTGTTCTAGAGAATATGTCATTGAGAACCTGTTTTAGAAGCTCATTTAGTGCATAACATGAATCTTTAATTTTTTTTTTTTGAGTTGGAGTCTCACTCTGTTCCCCATGCTGGAGTACAGTGGCACAACTCCTGGCCACTGTAGCCTCGACCTTCTGGTTTCAGGAGATCCTTTCCCGCTGCCTTCCAAGTAGCCAGGACTACAGTCGCGAACTACCACACTTGTCTAAGTTTTCTGATTTATTATAGAGATGAGGTCTTGCCAAGTTTCCCTGGCTGGTTTTGAGGCCCCAGTTCTGGCCATCCACTCACCTCAGGCTCCCAAAGTGCTGGGAATGTGGGCTGACAACAAGCCTGGCCTAGAGTCTTTGATATTCTGATACACAAGGAGGTCATTGGAGTTGGTGGACTTCCCACATTTGTGTATTTCTCTTTTCTCTTACACTCTCCCTCTTTTTTAAAAAGCAGGATTTATTGAGGACAGAAAACCTCGTACACTGGGAGAGGACCCGAAGGATTTACCAAACTCTCTCCTTTTATTCAGGAGCATTGGGGGGGCTTCCTTCTTTCTTTTTTCTTTTTTTTTTTTGAGTTGGAGTCTCACTCTGTCACGTAGACTGGAGTACAGTGGCCGCTCCCGGCCACCGCAGCCTCGACCTGCTGGGCTCCGGCGATCCTTCCGCTTCAGCCTTCCGAGTAGCCGGAATTACAGGCGTGCACTACCACACCCAGCTGATTTTTTGATTTATTGTAGAGATGAGGTCTCGCTGCCCAGGCGAGTCTCGAACCCGCGGGCTCAGGCAATCAACTCACCTCAGCCTTCCAAAGGCGCGGGATTACAGGCCGAGCCACCGAGCCCGGCTTCTTTTTTTCTTATTTATATATTTATTCATATATTTATTCCTTTTTACTTTTTGTCTTCTTTCAGGGGCTTGTTCCTATGGTACTTGAGTGTGGCAATGGCCAGTTTGTCCAACATGTCAATGGTGGACGTGGATTTCCCCAGCAGGCCAAAAAATATGGACTCCCCTTGAAACTACTCACAGGGTACATTGAAGTGTTTTGCTGCCTCCGCAGACTGGGATGGAGTCCTGCAGCCCAGAGATCAAGCCACCAGGCCTCATTCTTGTACTACAATTACCAGCATGCTCTCTGATACACGCCACATCCTGTTCCTCCCCCCAACTTCCCGTGCAGGGAGGCAACTTAACTTCAAAATGCTACAAGGAAAAAAAAAGTTTTTCTTTTTTCTTGCCTCCTCCAGCCCTGTTGGATCATTTCTGCTGTCATTCAAGATCAGGAGGGCGGTGGCCTGTCGCCTTATCCAATCAGCGGATGCTACTTCGGAAGCTGCCCAATCAGAAAGGAGATTAAAGTGAGGTGGTGGTTTCCGGGTTCTGACCGGGTCTTTTGTTTTCTGGGCCTGCGGAAGTGCCGAACCATCTCGGAAACAGCTGCATGTCTTTGTTTCTTCCTTTTTTGCCCTGTGAAATGCAGATCCGGGGAGTCAGTAAGGGAGACGCTGGGACACCCAGAAGCCAGGAGATCGTGAGTATGTGTGTGAGTGCGAGAGCGAGAGGCAGGGACACGGATGACCCGGCTGTGGCAGACCCGCCTCCGCTTCAGTTCTGATCCTGGACCTGTGCCTGCCGGGGGCTCGGTCCCGGTCCCCTCTTCACAGGGTGGGTCTGGTTCCTTTCCCAGGGTACTGTCCTCATGCCGATCTCGCCCTACTGGAGGCTTCTCCAGGAAAACCCGTGCTGCATATGTGTGGGACCCACGAGTGTCATGGGGGTCTGACCCGCATGGGGGCCCCTGGGGGAAGGAGCTGTAGTCCTGGCCGCATCCCTCTCTCCTACTAGAAGGTAAACGAAGGCTCCAGCACAGTGTTAAGGAGTTCCTAGAGGCCAACAGCGGATCATGAATCCCTAAGTCCCAGTCAGGGCTTGTGGTCTGGGGTCTCCAGAGGGCCTGGGGGCAAAGACTTGGAGAAAAGGCAGGGGGAAGCCGACCACGGGCAGGTGCCGGTGGATGACAGCCCCACAGTAGCCTGATCTGGAATATCCAGGTGGAAATCCCTAAACCAGGTCATCAGGGTTGTTAGGGTACTGGAGAGGGTGAGGGAAAATGGATGGAGCAAGTGGCGCAGCACCGCCGGGGCTGGCAAGCTGGAGGTGCGGCCTGATAACCCAGAAATCCCTATCAATAGCAAAGAATTGCATCATACAGAGGTGAGAGAAGAAAGGATTTATTTAAGAAAAGTTCACCCCCCAGAGTCCTGGCTTAAATCCTTTTCTTGGAGATGTTGCACATGAATGTCGTGACTTCCTTGTCGACCACCTGTGGATGTCTTGGGGATCCGTGACACAGACACCCATAATTGTCTGTCCATATTATCAGAGCCCTGGGCATGACAAGGATTCAAATTCTCCTTCACTTTTCCAAATGGCATTCCTTAGAGCTTGTGGAGGGTGCACTTTCCCTTATCTCCTATGCATTCCCAGTGAGGAGCTTTGGGGGATCCTTGGTTTCCCTGTAGATAGTGCCCAATTTATTGGAAGATGAATTCCCCATATGCTCTCCCTCTGAGCAGTCATAACTTTTGTAATTACAAGTTTCATGACTTTTACAGTCCTTGCCCAATGCATGATGTCTTAGGCCTTTTAAATTCCCTTTACTCTAGGCAAGCTTGATTGCCACTATGAGATACCTCAGACCTGGAAGTCTGTTTCTGAGAAGACAAAGTCGGTAAAGTTAATTATACCTAAAGTGTGCATTTCTCTATAAGCATAGCTTCTACTTTCTCATCGTTGTGTCAGGGTTTCAGAACAAGATGAAAAGTGGCTCCCCACTCTTAGTCTGTCCTTTCAAGGATCATTGGCAATTTGTCACCAGGTCCAAACCTGGTTCTGTCTGGTGGAACAGCCAAAGTCAAGACAAAGAGCTGGAGCAGGGGTTGTGACTTTATTTAGAGGACCATTAAAACTGAGAAGATGAGGGGCTAAGACCCCTCTGGGGTTGTTTGTGCTTTTGGGGGGTTTTGTCCAGGTCAGTGGTGGGAGAGAGAGAGGGGAGAGGATTGCTTGAGCCCAGAAATTTTATAGCACATCCATGTAGCTATAAAAGCTGATACAATTAAGCCAAGGTTGTTCACGCATGCCTGTAATTTCAGATTCTTGGAAGACTGAGAAGGATGAATCTGTTGAGCTCAGGAGGTCAAGATGGTGATAAGCTCTCTGGAGACACTTCACGCCTGGCTGCGTTATGGAGTGATACTCAGACTCATAAAATACATGTAATTTGCCAGGCTCAGTGGCTCAGCCTGTAATCCCACACTTTGGGAGGCTGAGGTGAGTGGATTGCCTGAGCCCACGGGTTAAAGACCCACTTGGGCAACTTGGCGAGACCTCATCTCAACAAAAAATCAAAAAATTATCTGGGCATGGTAGCACACACCGGTAGTTCCAGCTACTTGGAAGACTGAGTGGAAGTATCTCTGGAGCCCAGCAGGTTGAGGCTACGGTGGTCAGGAGTGTGCCACTGCACTCTACTCTCGGCAACAGAGTGAGACTCCAACTAAAAAAAAAACAAATACATATAATTTAATTGTTTAAAAATAAAGGCATATCTTTAATATGTCGATGTGACTTGTCCAGATAATCTCATCTGACGAGAAATACCAGAGGCAGTTGTGGCAAAAATGACTGGTTCTCAGGTAAATGTGTTCCAGGTCAGGGGCTGTGTCTCTTTTCCTACTGGAATGTCGTGATTTTAGAGTGTGCAAACTTTGACTGATACTCATATTTTGTTTTGTTTTGTTTTTTTAAGTTGGATTCTCACTGTCACCTAGGCTACAGTGCAGTAGCATCCTCCATCCCCCGTACCTCGACTTGCTGTGCTCAGGTGATCCTTCCACTTCAGTCTTTCAAGTAACTGAAACTACAAGTACACACACCACCATACTCGGCTAACTTTTTGATTTATTGTAGAGATGAGGTCTTGTCAAGTTGTCCAAGCTGTTATCCAACCTATGGGCTCAGACAATCAATCCTCTCACCTCTTTCTCCCAAAGTTTTGGGATTATAGGCATGAGCCACCATGCCTGGCCTTCATATATATCTTATTCTACTTTAAAACTGTGTATTCCCTTGATTTTTCAGTCTTTATTTATGCTTAAGATGTGGGGTACAATTCAGGGCTATGTATACAAATGTCCATTATGCAGGTACGCTTGTTGATGAGTTATGTACCACATTCCCCCAGTCATATTCCACTTTCAGTCTTCTTTTTTTTAAGTCACTGTCACACTGTTTTGCTTTTCAAGTCCTTATTATGATAATAAAGTCTTTCAAACTCTTTATGGATTTCCAATTTAAATATTGATTGCAAAACAATTTGTTTTCATCAGAACACAAACAGTTGTTTGCATATTAATATCAAAATCAACTGATTAGAGGATTATTGACTTAATGATACCATTTAATCTTTCTTCCCAATTGTGTATTTTCATTATTTTTTATTTCCACTATTTTTCATGTATTTCAGAAATATTTTACACTTCTTTATAATTTGATATTTAAATGGAAACTTTTTTGTAAATTTCACAATATCTTTTTAATCTATTAGCAAGATTACATGTCTTTCCCATCGATTTTATTTTTTATTTTTTACTTTTTGAGTTGGAGTCTCACTCTGTCACCCAGACCGGAGTGCAGTGGCCACTCCCAGCCATAGCAGCCTCAACCTGCTGGGCTCTGGCAATCCTTCCGCCTCAGCCTTCCAAGTAGCCGGAATTACAGGCATGCGCTACCACACCCGGCTAATATTTTGATTTATTGTAGAGATGAGGTCTTGCCACGTTACTCAGACGGGTCTCGAACCCAAAGGCTCAGGTAATCCACTCACCTCAGCCTCCCAAAGTGCGGGGTTACAGGCTGAGCCAAAGCCACCGAGCCACCTGATATTTACATTTCTATTCAAATGTGATTTTTCTACAAAGAAGTGACTTGAAATTCTTAATATGGAATAGAAATTGTGCGTTGACATTTTCCTCATCCAGGGAGACCGGGTTTCTGTGGTTTTCTCTTTTGTTTTTTCTATTATTTTTATTTTAAAATGTAGGGTATGGCCACGCTTGATGACTCAGCCTGTAATCCCAGCACTTTGGGAGGCCGAGGGGCATGAATTGCCTGAGGCCGCAGGTTTGAGACCTGCCTGGGCAACTTGGCGAGACCTCATCTCTACAATAACTCAAAATTAGCCAGGCATGATAGTACACACCTGTAGTTCTGGCTACTAGGAAGACTGACGTGGAAGGATCACAGGAGTCCAGCAGGGCAAGGCTATGGTAGCCCGAAGTGTGCCACTCCACTCCACTCTGGATGACAGAGAGAGACTCCAACTCAAAAAATTAAAATAATATAAAACGTAGGGTACAATTTAGGGTTAGGTCATAAGTGGTCATTGTACATGTAAAGCTGGGGGACCTGTCCTGATGTTACATCCCCCACAATGGTAGTGTCCCACTACTGCCAATCATTTTCTTATAGTATTCTGATAATTGTTCAGGGTCTACTCATGAGTGAGTACGTTTAGTACTCAGATTTTTGTTTATGAGCTAAAACACTTGCGTATATATATATATTTTTTAGTTGGAATCTCACTCTGTCACATAATGTATTAATAATTTTGTGACTGCCTCCTGTGTTATGTGAACTACAGACATGTGCTACCACACCTGACTAACTTTTTATGTATTGTAGAGATGATGTCTTGCCAAATTGCCCGGGTTTGCCTCGAACCTGCAGGTTCATGCAATCCTCTCCCCTTGGCCTCCCAAAGTGCTGGGATTACAGCTTGAATTACCGAGCCCGGCTTTTATTTTTTTAGTATGAGTCTCACTGTTTCTCCTGACTGTAGAGCAATGGCACACTCATGGCCACCGCTGCCTCCACCGACTCACAAACCTTCCACTTCAGCCTTCCAAGTAACTGGAACCACAAGTGTGCACCACCATGCCTGGCCAAGTTTTTTATTTGTTGGAGAGACGAGGGCTCACTAAATTGCTGTGGATGGTTTGGAAACTATATGCTTAGGAAATCCTGTCATCTCCTCCCAAAATGCTGGGATCATGGGCATGAGCCACCTCACCCATCATGAAACATTCTTAGTGATTATTTTTATGGGTTGTCCTATTCTTACATCTTATGAGGTTTTCTTTTGGTTTGCCAAAAGGTGGGAAAGACTGCCAAATTGGTCTACAGTAAAATGTAATTTTAAAATGTCTGAATGCTTCCTAAAAGCAGCCAATGGGGAATTTATCTACCGATGTCTTACCTGTGCTAGCTACCCTGCCTTATTTTGACATTACATGGTTAAATTCACTGTTGTTTTAGTCTGAGATTTGTCTTCTTCCAAGATAGTAATGTATAGGAAATACATTTAAATTGATTAGATGAGTGGTTTCTTTGCATTTTCCACACATTGCTGGTATTCAGGGGAAAAGACAGAAATGATTCCTGTCTTCTGTGAGAGCATAAACTGTGGTA